TAAATTGCTGTTTCTTTTTCTCTGATATGGCCATCAGTCATAAAGAGTTCACCATCATTAAAACTGTTTGATTTGGAACCCTGTAGTGTTTGGCTAAGAGGGTAAATGCAAATTTGATGAAAGAATAAGGATAAATTTACATATCAGCCTCAGCTCACATGGAGAGAGTAAACATTCTGTTTATCTCAAGTGTCACTTTATGATTTCAGTAGAATATAAAACTGACCTTGGCCCAGTCATTGCAAAGGCCTAAATGAAATATACGGTTGTCTAAATACGATTTACTCAAGTAGAACTTGTGGGCAAACCCTGCGGAACTCAACAAACAGGGCTGGAGAGAGCAGTGCTGGGAAAGCATTTGTTCTGATAAACTCCAAAATGAATTCTGGAATGAGGGGCTGGTGAATAAGAAAGGATAAAAAAAAAGTCCTACTTCATGAATCTCATTCAATTGCCATGAATTAAAACATCTTATTTAGCTAGTAGTTTTAGTCTTTAGTTGTCTAAAAATTAAAAAGCACAAAATCTTAAAAACCATCGTTAACACTTTCATGTAGAGTGTGCTTCCACTAAACCTTGATTTTATCATCTGGGGACAAGAATGAGATCATCATTTGTTTGGTTTCTGGAAGCTGTAATCGATTGGAGGAACTTCAACCCTCTGTAGGTAGTTTACATTGCAGGAGAATAATTCCTTTTGGTTGTTTGGATCAAGCACGTTTGCATTTTCCGTAACATTTTTAATTAGTTTTTTCCTCAAGCTAAGTCAGCATTCACCAGTGTGTGAAGGAACATCAGACGTTTGTCCACAATGAAGGCTTCCGTGTGCGCAGGAAAACGTTCAGAGACGAATGCAGGCGTCTCTACTGACATTTCACCTCTACTTTCTCACCCCAAAGTTTATTGTAGAAAACAAAGGAGCAAAACAAGATGATGTTCTCTTTTGGAGGAAAGTTGATGGCATAATATCTAGTAAGGTGAAGGGGGATTATATACATATATTTTTTAACTTGAGCTATTCTGGAAATTTTTCCCACTGTAGAGGAGAAAAATATCTTGAATAAAAGAAAAGAAAGGTTAAAATTATTTGGCAGATATAAATAGTTTTAATTAGACAATTAAAGAATACTCTTACAGAACATATTTATGCATTTACTTTTATAGCCCACAAAATAATTATTTTTCAAATAAGTAACATACCCACATAGCATAATACAAAGCTTCAACAGAAGACCCCATGGAATCTTCATATCTGAGTACAGTTTGCATCTGAATTACAAATAATTAAGCATAGTTAGCAACTTCTTTGGTCAGAGTTAATCTGAGTTTTTTGAGGCTTAAGTGGGTGGGAGTCTTGAGGAACCGACATAAATAAAGAGAAAGCGCTTCATCACTACCAAAACTACGGCCAGATTTTTCAAAAGTGTTTGAAAGGAGACTGACATGTTGTCTAGATTGGAAAGAGAGTGAAAAAAAATAGTACGTGTGTGTGTAGGAGTGGGGGGTAGTATATATTTGAGGAAATAAGATGGTTGGGAATCTTTCCCTCAACGTCTTGTGTTCACACTATATGCACCTAGAATATTGCACCCAGCGCTGCTTCTGGTCTGAAGTGCTTGTACAGTGCCAAAAAAGGGAGGCTCACAACTGAGGAAAGGATCCCACAAACACCGTAGATGTTCTAGTCTAAGTCACAGAGCACATAGACTATTGATGCTTAAGGAATCGAAAGAAAATAAGAAAAGAAGGAATAATCACTAAAGGACAGAGATCTGAGTCCCCAGATGAGGGTATGGGCATGGCACGTGGCAGAGGGGCGCCCTGCAAACCGTGGGCCATCTCTGACCCAAATGCACCTCAGAGTGCATTATTTACTCCAGTGTGAAAATCACCTCTACCTGTCTTCCTGTGGATCTCGTTAAACTAGATCCCCAGAGCACTAAAAGGTGTAACTAGAAAAAGTGGAAACCACCCAAATGTTCATTAACTGATGGATGGATAAACAACATGTGGCATATCCATACCAGGGATTATTACTTGTCAGAAAAAAAAGAATGAAGAGCTGATACATGCTACAACATAATGAATCTTGAAAATATTATGTTAAGTGAAAGAAATCAGTCACAAAAGGCCACCTACTGTATGATTCTATTTCTATGAAATGTCCAGAATAGGCAAATCTTGTGGTTGCCAGGGGCTTGGGGTAGGGGGCAGGAATGAGAAATGACCACTAATGGATATGGGATTTCTTTTTTGAGGTGATTAAAATATTCTAAAATTAGATTGTGGTGATGGTTGCACAAATCTGTGAGTATACTAAAACCACTAAACTGTACATTTTAAATGGGTAAGCTTTAGGATATCTGAATTACGTCTTGATAAAGCTGTTTAAAAAAATAATAAAGCAAAAACTGACAGCCAGGATGGTTACAGAGCCAAGGACGAGATTTCAAAGAGAATCCGTAGACCTCAAAGCAGGTCATTGCCCATCTCAGACCTTTTCCACCTTGTGAAGGGAGTGAGGGTCTCAATTAAAGCCGAACTTAGATGGGATAAATATTTGTGGGTTATCTGTGATGTGCCAGTATGGTGGGCCACAAGGGAGAACAAGATGCCTTGTGGAACTCATAGTCTAGAAGGACAGCATCAAATGCATACAATATACAAAGTGCAACAAGACTCTTGACTGCATGAATCATAGTGAATACAAATCAAGTGAGTTTACCACCCTGAGATGTGGAGAGCCCATTCAAAGGGCAGCGTTCAAGTGCAGCCACCTCAGCTCAGAGGAAGCAAGTTTAGAAGAATGTGGTCAGGACTTGGGAGGAGCTACCAATCATAAGATACAGAGAGGTTGAAGGGAACGTGAAGCACCCACCCACCCGCCCTGAGCAGGAGCAGATGGGTGCGTGATAGTTAATGTCCAGCCTCACTATGCCCTTGTTATGGGTATCACCTCATTCAACCCTCAGAACCCTAAGAGGGAGATGATAAGCAATGATGTTATCCCAATTTTGACAGATGAGGAAACTAAAGGATAGAGAAATTAAGGAATTTGTCTAAGGTCAATTACTAAATAGCAAAACCACTCCAACATAGCTCTGTTGAATATCCAAATTATGCCCTCACCCACCATCCTATTCTACTTTCTTGGTCTAAATAGTCCCAAAGTATGTAAAATTTACCAACAAATAGAAGCTTCAAGAGGCAGCAAGTTCCTTTTCTGTACTCAATAAAGAACAGAGAGATACTTTCAGAATGGTGTGTTCCCAGTCACTAGAGATGTTCACGAAGGGGCCAAAAGACCACTTGTTGGAAATGTGGATGGACTCAAATACCAGGATCAAATGACCTTTATGCTTTCTTTCCGCCTGTTATTCTGACGCAGTGACTATGGGATCCTATGAAGAGAACTGGAGCCCCTACATATAGTCATGCAGGTTGGGCACAACTCCAGGGAGGGGGCACGTTTCACATTCACATGCATCATGGATTTGAATATTTATTATGACAGTCTTCCTGAAAATGTTAGTACAGAGTTTTAAGGGAGAGTAGCTATCCCCTACATGCCCCAAGTTTCTATTTGGGCCTTTAGAAGTGCTGACCATATCTGATTTAGAAAGATAATTATGTAGACAGAGGATGGAGAGGAAGTTGAAGGACCTCACATAGTAGTTGTATCTTTAGGTGACCACTTACAGTGGATTATTGGTGGAGAATGAGACAGAAGCCAGACTGCTAGGTTATGGAGTAATGGCTGATCAGAAAGTAGAGACAGTGAGTTTAGAAGAGTGGCACTGAAGAGGAAAGATGTGGAGCTGCAGTTTGAGAGGGAAGGAGGCCAAAAAAAGTTTTATGAGGAAGGGGACTGGAAAGACATATTGACACACTAGGTGATAAATCTTTTGTAGACAGGAACCATGCCTTCCATACCCCTGTGACAGCTAATGCAAATTCGGTCCTGAAAACTGACTGAATGATCATGTCCCCTGATTCCTAGTACAGGCACTTAATATAACAAGACATATTTTTTGGAAAAGAAAATCTATATTTCTGGTCTTGAATGGATTGGAAAGATGGCCTTGCCCTTCCAGTATCGAGAGCACACACTTCAGCACGTCATTACAAGAGAAAGGGGAAGAAAGCTTATAAGCAACTCATCAGGCACGGAACCAGCTGGTCTGACGGTCCAGCTTTGCTCTCAGCCAGTCCACTCTTACGTCTCTCTCAAATGCAGTATGTGGCAGGGAAACATGGGAGAGTCTGGATGTAGAGGGCCCAGACTGACGTGGAGACTGGGAGGTCAAGGCAGGGCCTGAAGCCACTGTACCGCACACTCTTCCTCCTGCCGTCTCTGAAGCATCCGGAAGCTATGGCTGGAAGCCCTGGTCATGCATCAAAGCTCTTAAACTGGCTCAGGGTAATTAGTGCCGGGGGAGGGGGAAGGCAGCTGGGACTATTTTATCATCCCATTGAATCATGATTATTAAGCTCTTAAGAGAAGGAAAATAAAAAGCAAAATAAAAAGCACGACATGTTATAACAGAAAAAAAGCATGATGCTAAAGCACGCTAAATGAAGAGTATGATGTCTTTTTAAAAAAGCATGACATGTTAAAGCATCACACCTTACAGCTTCATTCTTACTCTCTGATTTCCAAAGTATCACATGCTTATTAAAATGAACAATAGTGGGATTATGAATGATTTTCATGATTTTTTATAATTTTCAGCACTTAAAAGTAACCATTGTTATTATTCTTATGTCTCTTCTATACTTTATTTACATAAACACATTATTATTTATGTAATTAAGTCCATCACTCAGTATGTTGGATAAATAAATGAATGCATATACTCTTTGGTAATTTTTCCCTTAGAAATACATTGCAAATTGTTCCCATAATTAAATGTGTTTGTCTACTACATGATTTTTTATTATCTTCATATTATTCCAATCCCGTGCACATACAGTCATGTGTCACCTAATGATGAGGATACACTGAGAAATGTGTTGTCAGGCGATTTCTTCCTTGTGTGACCATCATAGAGTGCACTTACACAAACCTGGATGGTATAGCCTACTACACACTAGGCTCTATGGTACTAATTTTATGGGACCACCCTCTTAAGGACCGTCTGTTGCTGACCAAAACGTCATTATGCAGCGCTGGACTGTATATTATGATTTGCTTAGACTTTTTTACTATGGGATACTCAGATTGTTTCTTTTTATTTTCAATTATAACTAATGCTACAGCAAACTTATTTTCTCCAATCTCTTCTTATAATCCTTAGGATAATCTGATATCCTAACATTGTATATCCTACTTCATGGAGAAAGCATTTTTTTTTTTTTCCGTGGCTTAACACAACACAAATCTATTTTCTTACAGTTCTGGAGGTCAGAGTCCTAAAATCAACGTGTCAGCAGAGCTCCATTCCTTCTGGAGGCCCTCGGGAAGGAGCTGTTTCCACGCCTCTTCCAGTTTCTACAGGTTACCTGCATTCCTTGGCTCGTGGCCCCTTCCTCCATCTTCAAATCTCTCTTTTTCATCCTCACATCACCTTCTCTGACTCTAACTCTCCTGCTTCCCTCTCGAAAGGACTCTAGTAATTACACTGGACTCATCTGGCTAATCCAGGATAATAGAGAATGCATTTTTAAGGGTCTTGTATTTATTGTAAAATCACCCCTTAGAATGGTTATTCCAGTTTACATTTCCAGAAGCTGACATGAATGCTCATGTTTTTGCACTTTTACTAAATGCTGGGCATATTCATTAAAAAGAAAAATGTTGGCCCACTTTATAGGATAAATGTTGAATACCTGCATATTTATATGATAAATTTGTTGAAATTAAAGTTTTCATTTAATTACAAATGAGGTAAAAAAAATTACTTCATATATTTACCACCTACTTCTATCTCTTCTTTAGTGAGTTGCCTGTTCATACCTTTTGCCAAATTTTCTACTGATTTATTGATGTGTTTATCTTTTTGTTATTTATTTATAAAATATCTTTATATAGTAAAGATTAGTTTTTTGTCTGCCATGTATATTGTGGAGTGTGTGTATATTTTGGAATTTGATATTTCATGTAATCAAATATATCGCTCATCTATTTGGTGGTATCTCTGTTTGCTATTATGCTTACACTACACTTTCTTGTCCTGAAATCATTGATTTCTCTATCCTCTTTTTTTTTTTAAAAATTTTATTTATTTATTTTTCCCCCAAAGCCCCAGTAGATAGTTGTCTGTCATAGCTGCACATCCTTCTAGTTGCTGTATGTGGGACGCGGCCTCAGCATGGCCGGAGGAGCGGTGCATCGGTGCGCACCCGGGATCCGAACCCAGGCCACCCGCAGCAGAGCACGCGCACTCAACCGCTAAGCCACGGGGCCGGCCCTCTATCCTCTGATTTTTATTCTAACTCTATTACATGACAATGTTTATCTTTTAACTTTTAAGAAATCACAATTCATCTGGAATGTATGTGAGTGTATGTATGATATTATACAGGGCTCTAATTTTGATTTTTTCCCCCAAAGATTTAACTATCTCATTAGCTTTTATTCTTTCCTTTTCCTATTATTTTTAAAGCTATTCTTACCACATCCTGAATTTTTATACGTGCTGGACACTCTGGGTTTCTGTTGTGTTCCATTAACTTATCTATTCTTATATTGATATCATGCTGTTGTAATGATATATCAGCTTTACACAGCAGTAATTGTCAAAGGAGAAGAAAGGCAAGACAACAGCAGTCCATTTGCTGTGGCCTGGCAGCACTGTCTCCGGACGAAGCATCAGAACACCCACGTTCTAATGGAGGCATTGCCACCACTTTGCTGGGTGATATGGAGTTCCCTAAAATTTTAAATATATTTCTTCATTTAAAAATTTATATTCTGTATACCTAAAATTGGGGTTATATCACCTTTTTTGCCAATCTCATAACTTTCTCAGAATCAAATGAGTGAAATTATATCAAATCACATAAATTTCCATCTCAAATGTTGTTGTTAATGAATTAATTTTTCCTTCCTACAGAGTAAAAAAGACCTCAGATTTTGTAATTTTTTTTTTTAAAGAGTATCCCTGGTTTGAAAGAGGGGAGAGGAGGTGTTCTAGGTTTAGTTCTCAATCCTAATAACTTAGAAGAAACATCATTAGAATTTGCTATGTAACCATAGGGCCTTCTTAAAGAAAGACACGTTTCAGAACAAACCTCGAAGCTTATTTACTCTTTGGTCTCGGGAGGAAAAGCCTATTTCAAGACACATCTTCGTACTGAAGGTGTGCACAGCGCTTGGCATCGTCATAGAGGATGTTCCGCTACCGCTGATTTAGTGGACTCACTAGCCGCTGAGCTGTTTAAGGGGAAAGACTGTGTCTTCCAAAACTACGTCGTGGTAGTCGTTGCAATAAACAGTTGTCTAAATGAGTACCTCCCCTGTGTTCATATTTGGATAAAAACCGTCCTCCACATGCGTCAGGAGAGACAAGGCTCCCAGAGGCGGAGCGCCCCACACGCAGGGAAGGAGCGTCGGGTGGAGTCAGGGAGCTTGGAGCGCTGATCCCACCCCGCCTCGAACTTACTTCGAGTCTCGTTTCAGCTTCCCCGTTTGAAAACAAGGGTGTTCTTGGGGAGATTCTCTCTCCGGTCTTCCCAACCCTAGCTTCCTAGGACTTGGTCAAGTCAGCGTCCAATTCCCCGGTGCCACATGGGAGCACCGCTCACGCGTCTATCTCCCAGAGTTTGGGAATCACATCACATGAAAACAAAACCAGGTGGAGTGGGTGTGAATTATTCAGCTTTGGAAGTTGGGTGAGAGCTCTATGAGGGCAGAGGCCACGCTGTGTGATCTTTTCCCCAGCATCCAGCACTGTTCACCAGGCACCCGGTGCACGCTGATTGAAAGAAGGAACAGATAAAATTGAATAGCTGGGAAAGCACGCAGGTGGTCTACCATCAGGAGAGGAACCTGAAAGGTGTTTACCCTTCCTAGAAGTATGGAATCTTTCTTCTCGCTCTCACATACTCGGCCTCAGTTTCAAGTCTTCCATCCCACCCAGGATAAAAAGCAGTGGGGCTCCTCCCACACGCAGACCTCCAGCTGGGCCATATTTGTCCACACAAACAGCTCCCTCCTTGTTTATTCTGCCAGCAGTGTATGCGCCCAGGAGGCAGCACTTCAAGGCCAACACCTCCCCTCTGGGGGCAGACCCGGAGCTGTGCGCAGCCTCTCCCCACCCCCAACACCAGCAAGGCCTTTCCCTTGAACCAGGATGGGGTTCCCACCTCGGGAGCTGGAGGCATTGTCTCTCCACCTCAGCTTGGAGGAAACGTTCCGTTTAGACAGGTGGCTGGGCTTTCTACCCACCGACACAAGTTTCCCTCTTCTTTGGCTTCGACCTCCATCCTCCCTGCTGCTGAGGTCTGGCTGGGATGGGGCGCTGGGAGGCTGAGGGTGAGGCGGAGCTGGAGAGGAGCCCATTCATTAGAGTTGCTTTTTGGTGGAATAGGATTATTCTGCCTTCATTTGTCGAGAAATGGAATCCAGAAGAATGGTGGCAGATGAACTGGTTAAACAGTCCCAAGGCCAGCTCCATGCCCAGGAGCCCCTCAGCCAGGGAAATCCAGAGCCAGTAAGAAAGCTGGGTGGAATGCCCACGTTGCTGGCTTCTACCGATGCACCCAGTTGCTGTTCTGACTGCCCTGTGCGCCCCGTGTTCAACAGACCTGTGCTCCACCTTCTCCTTAAGGTTTAGCCTTCCAGGTGTTTATCATACGCAGGGGGGGTAGGAGAAGTCTGGCTCGCCATGGCATCCGACTGCATGAGTTCTGCAAAGATTAACAGCCTAAATTGGCAGAAGTCTTGGAAGCCAACAAAAGAAGGGGCCATTACATATAAGATGTAGTTATTTCCTTCAAGTCAGAACTCTACATAGGTAGCAGTTTTCGGGGGAAAAGTATATTTAGTTCATATCCCTATAATGGAGTCATTTATCATGGCTCCTTTACATGTGGTAGAAATGTGTCCCAAGGTAGCCACACATCCCTAAACCTGAAAATATCATCATAGCAAATAATGAACCCAATTCATTATAATCAAGTACTATATGACTCAAAAGGTAGATGATTCCCATCGATTCTTTAATAATTCTGTCACCCCCGTTTCCTTGTCTAGCCTCACACGGTCAACGCTTTACTTCTGGGGCATTTCAGAATGAGCATCCAGAAGAAGATTATACGAAAGGCCAGGCAGGTGGGGGTGTTACATGCACGACTGGCTTGATTCGCTGGTTTGAGTGTTTGCTTCTGTACACCAGCCTCTCTGTCCTATTCAAATTTGTCCCTCTGCAAAATGAACAATTAATTCATGGCTACTTGTAAATGTTAAATCTGCAAATACTAGGCCAACTATATAAAATGTTTCCATCAGTCATTGGCCTCTTGCTGTGTTATGCCCATGTCTGCTGGGAAGGAGAGAGGAGCAGCATGTCCACTTTGCATGTGGGGAGGTAAAGGCACAGGAAACTCAGGCATCCGCATTAGTGGGAGCTCATTTGACAGAATCAATGCAGGAACCATGTCACAAATCCCTGAGAGAGTAAAAGGGGAAAAAAAAAGTCTCATGAACCTTTTCAGCCATAAATAAATTCTTATGCAAACATATTTCAAAATGTGAGCGAGAGTGTGCACCCATTCGAATGAGGTTTTATTCGCCAAGGGGAAGGTCGCATTTTCATAGGTAGGACTCACAGGCAGTAGAAGATGAAACCGTCTTCCATAGAAATGGGGTCATGTAGGTTATGGCTCCTGGAAGATTTATTAAAAGGGAAATAATTCCTACTTCTCATTCATAGGAAAACTGGACTACTCTCAAGGAAAATTTCAACTTTAAATCAAGTAGTATGATTTATTTTGTGGATAGACTGCGTTTGTGATTTTATAGAATTGACATACATTTGATCTAACAGGTTGAATTTTTTATGTAGGTGTTTTTCTTCCTTGATAAACCAGGACTCACAAATCCTTTCTGAAATTTCACATTCTAAATCAAGCTTGGGGAAGGACCATATTTTAAAATTTCCTGAAATGTCGAACATTCTTTTCATTTTACTCTTGTGTTTTTGTGCAGGTGATCTCATCTTATACCTGGATGTGTTGAAACAAATGATTTTTTATGTTAAACACAGAATTTCTATATGCTTTAGTAAATTAAATATTTATAATTGGACTTTGTTATGCAATGAATGATTAGGATCCTTTAATATAAGCAGAGTTTTAGAAAGTTCCGTCATAATTTTCTTTATAGCTCCTTAAAATCAGAGAACATTGTTTTCCTTGATTCTTTTCTGTTTACACCAGTAATACATGATAATTTGCAAATATAGCTTAGATGTTACCATTGTTAGCATTTTGATATATAAATATACACATATATATTTTTACAGAGTTAGGATCATGCTGTATATAGACTTTCTATTTTCTCTTTTGTTCCCAAAATAATATGTCGTGAGCATTTCCCCATGGCATTAAATATTTTTTGAGAATATACCATTTAATACTTTATGGATGTAAATTGTCTAGAGTGCTACGTATGTGATATCTTAATATATTTTACAGTACACAACAGTGTCTATGCAATTTGTTGAAAAAAGATAAATTTCTTGAAATCAGTCAATTTCATGGGAAAAATAACATATATTTAGTATAGTATGGAATGAACAACTATATAATTCATCAACGGTTTGGCTTGCAGCACATCTGATGGCTGTCATGGTCCCTTCTCTTGCAGGAGTCAGTTGATCACCACATTTCATTGTAAGCAGAGTTCCCGTGCAGAGAGGCAAAGAATGGAGATGAAGGATGTGAGTGTTACGCTTTGTACCATTCTGATAACTGGATTTCTCATGTGCCTCATGTAGGGTATGAAATTTTAGGATATGAAGAGAAGCAAGACCCAAGATGAAAAGCAAATAGCTCCTCGGTGGGACAGGTGGATAAAGATATTTTTCTAAGAAACTGTTGTTTGATAGTTTTTAACTAGTTTTATTTTCCTCAGTAATTTAGTTGCAACCTAGTCATCCAGTACCATGTGTGGTTCTACCAAATGTCAAAGTTCTAGTCGAGTCTTGCATGTTTTTTCTCCCTTGAATTGCCCAACTGGTTACTCTTGCCTTTAAATATCTCTAATGATTTTTGCATAGTTTAGGCTGCAGAAATGTGGAATTTCAAATGAGGGTGTAAGCGTTATTTAATAAGTAGAACTCCCATCTGAGGCCCAGACACCTTCTTGCTTCCTTCTCTAACACTTGGCAGGGTCTCACATCTTTCATGGCACTAAGAAGATTATCCCGGATATTTAAGGGGAGAGTGTAGAGTGATAGGAAAACAGAATCTAGGTTTATTTTTAAACTTCAACCATGGAGTTTTATCCTTTCCAATCTCCCAATTTATTTTCTCTGCCATATTGAAAATTTTCCTTGAGTTTCATTGAAACTAGCCCACCATTTACCATTTGTCACACGTGGACCATCAGTGTACTTTGTAAGATCGACTGTTACAAAGGTCCCCTTATTTAGGAGATGTGGCATTGGGTTGACTTTCCACTCCTAAGCAGGCCAGTAGTGCCTCTGCAGCAAGAACCAAAAGGGAGTTAGTTTCATGTGATAACAAGGAGAGACATAAAGGAGGGTGGGAGAACGACTATTAAAAAGGAATGGGGTAAAAAGTTTGACTGGCTCTTTCTGACCTGAGAACACATTATTCCATTGGAAGCAACTCCTATGAAAATACATTCTCAGTGAGCCAAGCAGCACATTTCCCTATTCCTTCTCTCAGGCTTAGACTGGGCAGCTCAGGTGCGTGCCAGGTATCTGCTCCAGCCCAACCCTCCTCCTACGTCTTGTCAGAGAAGCCCATTGTTATCCACCGGAAGCTCATGATTCAGCAGGTACTTGACGTGTGGTCTCCTAGGAAACAGCTACCAAGCATCTGAACAATTCACTGCTGACTGACCACGTCTCCAGCCACAAATGCTTCCCATAAATGAGCAGTCATCTCCCTCCAAGAGCAGCAGGGTTGGCTGGTGTCCTGGGGCTAATGATGGAATGAAATCCTCAGCCAGGTTGATCTCCCCCAAGAAGTTTTAGCATTCATTCTGGAACACAGGTTGGTTTCTGAGCATTCTCTTCAGTCTAGGTGACTGTGGGAAGAGGCCAGAAGTGTCTGCAGCAACCACCATGAACACTTTCTGGCTTTTTGTCATTGGTGATTTCTTCCTAACCACTCGAGTGTAGAGGACTAACCAGAGTGCAAGGCCTTTCTGGCATTCTTGCATGTACCCATCCATCAGTCAGCCAACACCTAGTTATGTTATCTAGTCTCATATGTAAGGCTGGTACCAAGCACTGAGGATACAAAGATGAATAAGAGCTGATCCTAAAGAACTCAGTCGACCACAAAGAACAGCTTTCTAATCTAGTAAGTGTTCCACAGCAGTCAATTTCACACAGAAGGAGTATGAACAAAAAGCTATGGAAAAAAGATTGAGTACGAGGGAAGAATTGAATAAGCTTTTACAGAGGTAGTGGGACGTGTGGAGTTGGGTCTGGAAGGATGAATAGGAGTTTGTCTGGCAAAGAAGGGAGTCAAGTCCATTTCTGGCTTAGAGAACTACATGCTTTTTTGTTACTACTCTTTGGGACCACTCCTTCACTGTGAAGTTGGGCACAATTCATTTTTGTTTTATCCTCAAACAACTTAAAGGTATAGGTAAGTTTAGTTATAGACATCGTTTTGTTATAAAATCACCTTGTTAGAATCTTCAACAGTGGTTGCCCTTTTTCACGTCAATGTTTCCAGGTGAAACTGCCCTTTCTGTAGCCACTTAAACTCCAAAATGTCAATAGGGCTCCTAGTTTCTGTTCCAACTTTTTTCATTGAATAACAAGAGCTTACCTCAAGCACCTGCTTAGTAATACGTGTTTTTTCTTTCTCAAGACTATCCTAACGGACCTGTGAGTGACAGCTGTCGTGCTGTCCTAGCCATTCGGTGCGGTGCAGCTGCCTGGGCTCAACTCTCCTTTTTTATATACCTAACCAGCCCCCACTTTCCCTGGACATGTCTGTCACTACAACCCAGCTCCTACCCTATTGCCACCTCCCTCTGGGCAAGTCTTACCTAGCTGAACCTGCCTGGTCATCCAACTTGACTTACAATTAAATTAGCTTTTCAAAATCTAGCTTTTTGTTTTCACTGTTGGGAAATGGAGGTTGTGGTCTGAGACCAACACTGGAGGGAGAAGGGAGTTTTTTCCCGTATTTGTATCAGTTACACAAAGGTAATCCTACTCTCAGTCTTATGACTCGTCCGTGAACGTTTTTTAAAGGCATCAATATAACTACAAGGAGTAGCAGAGATGACAAATTGTGTGTGTGTGGCTTTTTCTTCCTCTCTTTCACCTCTCTTTCGTTCATCCTTGGCTCTGCTCATTTGCACACCTACTAGAGGTGCCCAGGAGGGAAAAACTATCAATTCACTCTGGCTCACAGCAGGGATTGGTGCTACCAGAAGGTTCCACGTCAGATCTTTTGTCTTCTCTGGCAGTTGGAGTCATCGATTGATGCTTGTGTCTCTTTATCATGGAAGATTGAGAGTCACCTGGACACGTTCTTGGTCTGAGATCGGGGTTGTCCTGGGAAATGACTGTCTTGTGTTTACAACAGTGTGTAAAATTCTAACCCTTCCCTCAAATAAAGGCCATTTGTCCACAAACAACCTCCCTGCTCATCTTAGGGAGGCCTAACTCTCTCTGACTCCCACTGCAAAGCTTTGGGGTCTTCCTGCCATTCAGATTAGTCACCCCCACACCCCACACTGTCCAAGTCTTTCTCTATGAGTCATCTGCAATTCAAATCTAGGCTGAACTTTGAGATTGAAATAATTAGAAAGCAAATCCAAACTTATATTTGGCAAGAAGAGAAAGGATAAAAGGTGAAATTGGTTTAGGGACAGCCTGACGTGACAGGAGGAATTTGGCTCTGTCCCCTCACCCAGGGTCTCTCTTTCCTAGCACCTTGAGAAGTCCCCAGTGACATTGCACAGTCTCTCTTCTGATCTCGCCTCCAACTCCAGGATGCACGACCTCTGCTGGAACCCACTGAGGCTCTGCAGAGTGTAAATCCTGGAACATTTCTTCTTCGGATGCCTGTGACCTCTTGTGTTCTAATCCCAAGTCTGAGTCTCTTCAGTCAAGCAAATTGTTGTCCTTTAACGTATTAACAGGGAGCACATATGTTAACACGTATAACAGGGAGCATGTGTGTTAACACATATAACAGCAGGGAGGCTGGTCAAAAACTTCCGAGCTTCACTCTTATGTATGAATTAGTTCAAATATGTACCTGAAACATTTTATTCTGATCACACAAAGTGCATGTAGAACAGAGAAACCTTATGAATGATTAAAATGTATGATTTTACTATTTTATGTTAATCTACAAATTCCGATTTTAACGATGTTCTCAGACAGTTAAATAGATAATTATATGCCTCTCAATTTCCTAGTGAAATATCTTTCATAGTTTGCACTTTATTTTAATGCAAACTGATACCTTGCTAAGATTACCCAAAACCTAGATGAAGTCTTAACTATTTTTTGGTCAAATGGAGAAAAAATTTCTTGGCCTAGACTTGACATATATAATTAGGAAGAATACAGACCCTCTAAAAGCTAAACGCAACGTTTATTTTAAAATGTCCTAAGGTTAAGACCTCACTAGCAAGTTTTATTGCTCAGCTACAGCCCTACGTGAGAAATGGGGTTTATAATGGAAATGCTGATGCGCCGTGTTAATTATCAGATTGCCACCGGGCCCCAGCATAATGAAGGAATTTTCTTATTTTTGCACAATGAATACTAATTGAGGTGGGAGAAGTGCGAACTTGTGTGGCGGCACTGCAGTAAAATGGTGCCATCTAAAGGAGAGGAGAGCAAAGCCACACTGGTGGCATTTGTGAAGGGAACAAGCAGGATGACCTCCTCCAGTCCCTGACAGCTGCATTTCTGCACTTGGATTTTTAACTCAAAAACAAAATTGAATTCTCCTGCGCTACTAACATAGCTGGTTATCCAGTGGAGTTAGGGATGGGGCAGATGCTACCAGAATCTCTGAAACCTCCTCCATGAATGGACTTGTCACCTGACAGACCACAGAGAAGTGACATTGATTCAGCAGCCAGAGCTAGGGAGAAGAGAGGGAACTGGGGGTGGAGAGAAGAGAGAAGGCGAATGGGTGAGTGGTGGGTGGGAGAAGATGGAGATGAAGAGAGAAAAAGGGAGAGAGAGAGAAGAAAAGAGGCATGGAAAGGTCATTTTGTGCTGGATGTTTTGCTTTCAGATACGCAATATAAAATTCAGCATTTAGTCTTCACAAGCAGTCTCATTTGTACGTATAAGGAGAGTGAAACGGAGAGGTAAAATAAATTACTCCAAATTGGGACATGGGTAAGCAACAGATCAATCTACCTGCTTCCAGGACTGAGGCGCTTCTACAAGCCTGAGGTCGTGAATGGAATAATGTGGTAGCTATTCCTAGAAAGGGAAGTGCTTATTGCATTCATGTGACTATTCTCATATGTAAGATCAGACGCCATTGGAAGACAATAGCATCCGTCTCCTTCCTAATTAAACCTACCCATTAAACAGACTTGGAGAAACAAGGCACTCACACCCCCTCACACCCTCACACACACTCCCTCACACACAGAGTTCCAGTTAAAATTCTCGCTTCACCCACTTTCCTGCCTTTAAAATGTGATTTCCTAGTGCATCGAAAATTCCTGTAAGCACAGTGGGACCGAGAAACTCATTGGGATTTTAACTTTAACTTGGACAAACTGTCTAGTAAAATGAGCCCCTTTTCACAAGCCAGAGAAAACTCGGCCCTTGCTCTTCTGTTTCACGGAAATATATGGGAAACAAATGCCACTTGGTGACCTGGGGGTATTAATAGACCTGAGAATACACTGACTTGAACTGTCGCCTACACCCTGGAGAAGTCTGGTTAATGGCACTGAAGGGAGTACGGGTTTGAGGCTAAAGAAAGCATCTCCACAGTGGCAGAGAACCCAAGGGCAACCACACAGGACATTCCTTGAATGGAGGGCATTTTTATACAACCAGAACAGGGGCCACTGAATAATCTTAGTCATTTACCAAATGACTAAGTCAGACGACCAAATGACGCAGCACGAAAGCTCAGATGGAGGAACACACGTTACTTTGCTAAGATGGTCTGAGATGCTGACTGACTTGTTCCCCAGCTGGCTCAGCTGTGTTGTCTAGACACAGCCAGCCTGGGGCTCTCACCACACTCAGCTGCAGGCGTCGGTGACTGGGGCGGGACTGCTTGCCCCTCCCAGAGGTCAGAGCAAGTGGGCCCAGCTGGAATGTCTCCTATTGGCTTAGTAACAGGAAGAAGAGGAGATAGCATCCGGCTTCTTACAGATCCAAGATGGAAGTGATTCACGTCAAAAGCGAAGTGGCCTCTTTTGAAAATATATATTGACGTACCATAGACTCATAACAAGGCTTGAGCTTTTTCTTCAAGGAGAAAAAAAACTGTTTGAAAGCTTTCCCTTAAATAACAAGCAACTAGAGTGAGATTTCTATTTCTTGCACTGATTTTTTTAAGGGAGGTTTTGGCTTTAAAAGTTTGCCTCTATCTGTGGTATTTGAGTCTCATCCACTAACTCTACATTTTACAAAGCAAATCAGAGGGGAAGAGGGAAGAGCACAGTGACAGAGTTAGGGATACATTTTTATTGCGGAGAAAGCCTGACACTCCTGGGCTTTGAGAGCACGTCTGAGATGAGGAGCTCGTGCCCTGCCTCCTGTGAGGAGACCGACATTATTTAGGCCAGAACACTTTGGAGTACTCACAGGTGTTCTTTGAAAAAGAGTTCAGCAGTGGTGACTTTGGGAGATGCTGGTTTACACACAGCTAAACAGGTCCTTTTCCTGCAGGACTTTTTAGTCTCTAATCTGCTGAAGTGCCTGTGACATTCCTGGTGAGCCGTAAGGGCCGCCTTCACAGCACTGAACACAGGGCACTGCGGGGGTGGATCCGAGGAAGGGATGGGGAGGTGCGAGGAGCAGCTGGTGGGACTCCATCTCCCCCAAACATTGAACCACAAAATGCTTCTTGTGGAATATTAATAACATTACAGCGCGTGCAACACACCAACATAAGTGAAGAATGAGAAGCATCTGTTCCCCCAATGTGAGCAGTGCAGCAAAGGGAGACCAGCTAGCCACCACGCCCTGTGGAGACAGGAGGAAACTAATCTGTTAAGCTCTTTCTTAGCATCGCACTAGCTCCTTTACAACTATTATAAGATTTAAACATTAAGGACGTTAAGATATACAGTTGCCCACCACTTGGTTTTGTGCAGAGGAGAGGGCTCTAAGAACGTCAGGACCTGGGAGTGCAGGAGACCAGGCTCTCCCTGGGGCCTGGCTTGTGGAGGAGTCGTGACAAGTGGTCCATGAATCCATGTGTGCCCCAAACATCGTCTCTAGCCTGGGTAAATAGTATGTCTTGTGCTACTATGCACTACTCTGTTTCAGAGACAAATGCTGCCGTGATTGATAAAATACAATTAATGTAAAAACTTTGCTGAATTCACAGCAACTGTCTCTCTTGAGGTATTTTTTCAATAGATGGATAAGACCAGAGCTAGTAATATGTGTAGGTCCTCAAACTTTTTAAATTTTTGAATAAGCAATAAAATCACATGGTTCAAAACCCAGAAAATGTCAAAAGACATAGAATAAAAATGTCTCCCTCTCATCCCTGTCCACCCATCTGCCAAGACCCCGTACCACTGACTAGATAATCTTTGTCCTTAGTTTCTTATATAAACTTCCAAGTTTTTTTCCAGCACACACAAAAGCACGTTAAAATGTAGAGTTTTATTTCCCACTTTCTTGCAAAATGGGTAGCATATTTTACATGCTATCCTGATTTTTTTGTGTGGTACAACCGCACTGATATATTTCCTCTTTATTGAGGAAATTCACTCTCACAGAGATCCTAAAGCTAAAAGCTCCCTGAACCTTAAGAGAGTTAATAGAGTAATTGGCCTTACATCCCACATCCCACTTGTTTCTCCTCCCCTCCTTCATCGATGCTCATAGAATGCTTCTGGTGATGCATAGGACCGAGACTCCATCATTTCTTTGTGACTGTCACTCCCAACTGCCTCCAAGGTAGACTACCTACTTCTGTCTCCTGTGAAATGATAAGATACCTTATCATCCTGAATCTCAGAACCTACAGAGGAGCCCACCTCTTAATTTTCAATTCCAGTAGGGCAGAGGATTACCAGTGGGGTCAGAGTTGATGCTCTACACTGGTCCAGATGAGTTAGACTAAAAGATTATACTGAGAACACATGATGCGGAATCTTAGTCATCATGCCTGATGCTCTGGGCTTCTCACGGCCCCATCTGGATTCTTTGGCTGATTTAAGACAAACAAGGAGCTGTTCCACCTGCACGCTATTTAGGTTGGCCCTGGTTGATGGAGAATTCAAGCAGCATTGGTTCAAATCCTGTTGACCATCAAAATTCCAGGGGCTGCAGAACTTTTGAAAAGTACAGATTCTTATGTTCTACCCAGATCCGTGTGATTCTGCCCCTCAGAATCCCTTGGCGTCGTGACAAGGCATGCTTATTTCTAAGCTCCTGGGTGATTCCAATGCTACTCCAAGAAGGAAGATGCTCAGGTGGGTCTCACAGCCTCATGGATGCTGTGATTCATAGGAAGGGCATGGAGAGGAGCCCTTCTCCAAATATGTGCACAGTTTGGTTATATCCCCTTTCAGTATAAATTTGAAGAAAATAGTCTTCATTTCTAATTTCACATGTTTTGCAAATGTGGATCTGTCTTAGGCAACAAATTGCTTGGAAATGGAGGAGAATGAAATTAAAATCATAGAGAGGCAGAGAGTTCCTCAACCAAAGGGAAAACACTCCATTTTTTTTCCCCTAAGGATTAATGAATGTGACCGAGAAAGTGATTGACTTGAGCTGAGGGAAATGGGGTGAAATTAGAAAGAAAATTCAAATTTGGGTGAAGCTGAGTTCTGTGATCAATCACACTGCTCTGCTGGTTACCTCCGAGATGCCCCTCTATGTGCATTTGCTCCTCACATTGTTTGATAACCTTAGAACCTGGTGTGATGCAGGGCTGGCAAAAACAGAAATCAGCAGAGGTCGGGGTCAGGAGGAAATTGACATGGAGGGGT